GATGATTTTAATTCATGTTCGAGATTGTCCGGTTTGGTTCGGAGTAGTTTTTGTAGTGGTATTTCAACTGCCTGATGGAAGGTGTACGATTTTGAACATGTTTGGAAATTTAGTCGATTTTGTTGTTGTTCTTTTTGCAGGTGATAGTGTTTGAGAAGTGTTTTGTTTCAGGATTTTCAAGTCATGGCTGATGCTGCTCAGATCAGGGTCCAAGATGCAGTGACGCAAATGATCAATGACCTGGACAAGTTGACATTACGTCGAATGCAGGTGCCACCTTTGATTGGTAGTCTGTTATGTAAAAAGTCCGTTCTGCGAATTCAATTATTTAAAAATTGAAATGTTACTGGTTACCAATAATTTTACGCCTGCGGAAGTTTGTCATGCAGATTTAGTTCATCGCACAGTAGGGAATCTGCCTCCAAAGGTGGTCTTTGCGGGAGGTCCATTGTGTTGGGGTTGACTGTATTTTCTTTTCTCATTTATTAACAGTATTTGTATAACCGAATGTATGTCAATGTTTATTGGTGTATAAAAAGTTTGCTTAGATTTGGCTAGTTCATGAAGATCGGTGTGATAAGTCGAGTTGAGGTGCAGTCAAACCCCTATAAGTCATCTTTCAAGAGACCAGCCACAAATTCGAGTCAGGGAGGTATCAAGTTCGGAAGACCAGTATTTTTTTTGCGGGAAAGATGGAAGAATTTCAGGAAAGCGTAATTGGTGATATTCTAGGGCATCTAGGCCTTGAATTGCTTTTTGAATGAGTTGAGAGGATGCTGAACTTGAGGCATCCTTTGCCCAATGAGTTTTTCACTTGATTTTAAAACAAATTTTTACTTTTTCATTGCTTTTATCTTTCCTGTGTCAATAAAATGATAGCCAAAAGGCCTTCAGAAAATTTGGGTTATGGAAGTTTGAGAGGAAAAGCCATTGAGTTAGAGAGACTTTTAATGCATTGTTTCTGAGGGAATTCAGGCAGAGACTTGAAGAATATTCGACTTGAGGAGGTTCAGCTTATTCAGTTAGTCCTTAAACAACTTTGAATTGCGGGACTTATGCATGTTCTTGTAGACTTTCCCAGATTTGGGTCTACCCTAGTTCGTTTTGCGTAAGATTGGCTAAATCTTAGGTCTGGGTGTTTTGGTGTAAGCTTATTTCGCTTAGCTCTTCACATTTTTCGGACTACCACTCTTAAAATGGCGGCGTATCAAGAATTTGCGGTGGTAGTTTTACCAAGAAAAATTACTGCATGTACTTCTGTTTATCCTTGACGCTGAGACATTTTCGGAATAATTTAGAGGTTTTCATGATGAACATACTTTTAAAACCATATTTTTTAGGGTGATATGCATCGTTGTGCAGCACGATGTTGCGATGATCGCGAGTCTCACCTGGAGGCGATCCATCGTTGCATCGAAAATTGTGCAATTCCTTTGAACAAGGCTCAAACAA